AGTATCAAATAGGGTTACGAGCAACCATCCACGTACGGACGACAGCTTCGTTTGGAGAAAGCGCCACGTTATGAGGAAGTGCAAGCCAGTCAAATCGGCTGTGAAGTGAGTGGTAAGATTGGATATTTCGTTTGAAATTACTGGACTTACTCGTCATTACGGTACTTTGAGAACGTGGTATTGACATCAGACTTGGAGCGTCTATCAGACCATTTGACGACGTACCTTCCTACGTTTCACCTCGTTCCATCTCTCAATGAAATGCTGAGAAAGATCTAAACAAACAGAACCACATATCGTCATATGAACCTAATATATTAAGTAAGGGTCACACAATGTGGTATAGGAGCTGAAAACGACTTGAAACTTACGTCATGCCATGGCATTCTGGGTGTTTCCATGATCGAGACAGCATTGCTAACATAATTGTCAACATTCTGAAAGTCAAGGACACGCGCGTTGTTATAATCCTGTCCAGGAAAGAGAGTGCGTGACCAATCTGTCGGGTGTACATCTGCAAGAGGGTGGTTGTGTGTATCCCAGCGACCAAAGCAAATGTCAAGTCCTCCAACACATCCACGGTGGTTGTCGACAACCACAAGCTGTTAGAAATAAGTATGAGGATCACAGTAAACTGAAGGTAATGTGCATACCTTCTCGTGATGAGACCAGAATTCTACAGTATCTGGCGACTAAGGTTATGCATGTGCGTTGTCGATCACGACTTGTTCCCACCTTTACTTCCAATGTGGTCAGGGTGTCGCATGCAAGCGATATTGGGATGTAAGGCCTCTAACGCGGCCTGCATGACTTGGAATAAATATCCTCAAGAGTAAACGCGAAAAGAAAAATGCAGACCTTTGTGTGCTTCGAGTTCATGGACATGGTTTGAGTGACCTGAATTGTGCGCAAGCGCTTAATAAGGATTGAACGACTCTCGATAAAACGGTACCTCTTTATAGACGATAACATATATTCTTACTCCTTGTCGAGCCTTACGTTGAAGCAATCGGTCGAGTCTCCACTCCGGATGATCTGCGGGTGGTCGTCTGGGCACGAAACACCTTCAGCTATTCAGGCGCAAAAACCGTCAATCAAATACTAACCGAAGGTATAACTCGGGTGTGAGCCACCAGTCCTGTGACAGCGCATCGGTCTCGAGCTAGCAATGGCAATAGTTTTGAAGATACATACCAATATAAAGATGCACTCTTTTGCACCGTCGAGTATCTCAGACAATGCATACATATAGTCATGACCATCAATGTGCCTGAAAGGTATTTGAACATCTGAATTGGCTATATGGATGTAAACGTACCATTTAATGGCATTCTCTAATCTCTGATCCGCGAAGCTATCGAAACGATGACTGGCATTGATCTGGGCTCGAATCTCATCGTCTAGTTTCTCCTCTGGCTTGTCGTGACGTCCTGGTCAGCCAAATAAGATACTGTTGAAGTCAAATGCTGTGCATATCGTGCTCACTGTCAGGATTGATGATTCCTGGGGTGATAAAATGATCATGAGGGTTGGGCCTCAGGAGTAATTTCAACGTACCAATGATCTGATCTCTTGTCCTTTCAATGCCCTCTGGGAGTCGCTCTGCGTAGTCTAAGACCTTGCCAAGGAAAGACATGATAGAAACCGTTCAAGCTCAAGTTAGTGAATTGTTGTAACACCTTTCACTATCGGATAAGTATAAAGGCAACCTTATATACGGCCATGGCACCGTGCGAATATTTACTGCGCCCAGCGCTGGACAGGACAGCCATATGGATTGACACAAGATATGGTGAGTGACTTCCACTGACAGGAAAAATAACGCGCATATTTGATCCTTCCTTCTCGGCATATTGAACCCGAAAGACACGGGTTTGTCTATGTTCAGGGCGTGCTGAGCAGATGCTGAAACGCCATTACTACATTTTTTCCGCTGTCACTGGCAGGAGGCAATTGAAGCAAACGCAGCGCAGCGCGCTAGTGTCCATGAAGGCAGGGAACGTTACATATGCCGCACTATAGAAGATTTGATCTATCCCTTTCCAAGCCAGCCTTCGTCACCTGTTGGCACAGCATTAATCAATAATTGGTAAAGCATTCCGCAGGCCTCCGACCGACCAAGTCATCCAACTCGAGCCTCAATGCTGAAAAGCTCTTCATTCTCAATTCCTGTCCAAGATGTTGCAAGAACTGCGGGTACTACAGTGAAGAATATGCAGCTGGGCCGTACTAGTAAGCTCGGAGATGTACTAGTCTGCCGAATGCGCGTTAGCTCACGAAAAGGATGCCCCGGCCCGGCCTTGACTTAACTGAGTAGAAGCCCTAGGCCATCGTTCTGGCACTCCACGACACGCTCGAGCCTTTCCTAGATCGTCAGACTGTCTAGATCTGGGATATAGCTATCATGTGGCATCTTCAAACTTCAAGCTTTCAAGTCTAAGATGGAAAGAGAATTTCTGTATTTGCATACCGCTACAAGTTAAGACGCGATGCCCTTGGGAGATATTAATAATATTGTAGTGGTATGGGGGAATGTAAGTATAGCACGAATAGCCGATCGGCAGCCTGCGTTTAACCGTTAGATGTGTTGATTACAATGTTTTTCCTCCTCCTGGATCCTCCTCTCTCCGCCTATCCATGTCCTCCACCTCCATCATCTTCCAGTCACGCGGAAGTCCATAAGTTGTTTGTGAGTAAGACCTTCCTGGTGCCCGAAGATATCGATTAAAGCATTGTGGCATCGTTTTACCTAGCAAACACCGCGAAATGATAGTTGCCGCAGGGAGCTCGATTTTCGAGGAGTAGCCTGCAATGCATACAAACGCTTAAATCAAGACATCCAGGGTTATTAATGATATATGATGCCCGAGGCTTGACTTACCCAACAGAATAGCAAACCGTGGATACCAGTAGTCCTACATGATTAATGTGCTTTTCGACCGTTTCATCCAATCTACAACTTATCGTGATGAATGCTTCCGTACGGTCACAATTGGACTCGCTGTGTCATCGACTGCCAATCATACCACCGTTCATGACGTCAGGATCCAACTCTTTCACTGGAGCCCGCATAACAATATATTTTTTCTGGCCAAATATTGTGGCAGATGCCAACCACTCTCGTTCTGCGGCGGATTCTGTAAGGAGCATAGCCGAATGCAGGTTTGCGTTGTTACTATTACATACTATAGCAGGGTGTACGAGAAGGCAATGTGCGGGGATGAACGTTAACGTTTTGTGCGCACCAAATCTGCAATCGCCGGTTGTCCTCGTACATTACGATGCGGCACTCTCAGCAGGTCATTGAATATAGATTGGTGATAGTGATCACTAATCTCTATTGAATGGCTTGTTGTCCACAAGCCCTGGTGGTTGCGCGAACTTACGACCAAGTACAAGTAATGGCCAGATCTCAATCGGACCACCGTGCCTTGACCGGTTCGGAAACTGTAACGGCCGGAAGAAGATCAGTGGCGTCCTGCATCATGTTATGGCCCTCATCAATCATTGATGGCATCTGCAACGCAAGGAGCGGCATGAGGACCGGATATGCATACCCGAAAGACAATATGCCACAACTTCTTGGCATTATGTACTACCACAGCTCATGCACGTACTTGCCTTCTATGTAGGAGATCTCGTTCGGCGTCGTGTCTCGTTTACAACGAGGCTGCTCCGCGATGAGGTATCGAATTTCGAATTCTAGCCCATGCGGATGTGGATAAATTGGGTGTCGAAGGGTCTGTGTAGGTAACTTGACAACGACATTTGAAAACAAGTAGCACCTTTATGAGGCTTTAAGAGTTGACCCGATCGATTCAGGCGGGGTCAGTTCCGTTTTTGCCACTGCGCTCGAGAGTTGCACGCGTCGAGAAGTACTGGGGAATGGAAGCAAGAAGGAAGTCAGCGAACTGATGCTTGGATGAGACTGACGAATCACGAAACAATATTATGCCTTTCTGCTCAAGCGGTCATAAGAATCAGAAGATCGTGCCAGAGCGGTGGAAACGTACATAAATGGTATCGGCCGAAGCACAGTGAGCAAATCCAAGAGTTGAAATTTGTTCACTAATATGAGCTTCAGCATACCTCTGTCACGACCAACGACGATGCTGTTACGCTTTCTCCTGCGCCTCAGGACAACATGCGGAAGCCATGACGACATACATGATCGCCACAGCAGTCGTGTCTGAGCCGGAGTAATCCATAGGCTATTTCTTCGTGCGAGACTTGTGAGGATTGGTTCTCAAGAAGGTACCGAGCAAACGAAGGACAGGCTTTGCCGCTTGCCTACAAACAACTGGGAGTCAACGCCCCAGGCCGCATGAGCATCTGGAAGTACTTGAACATTTTGTGGATGACGATGATCTCGGGTGTGGCGTGGACTTTCCATGTGACACGCAGGATGACAAAGGCGACATGTCTTGTGTCGAATGCGTTAAAGTGGTTATAGAAGATGTCGCGAAGTGCCACACACCGATTTGCAGCTGCTTGATGTCATTTATGGTTGTCAAGGATGTCAAGGACGACATCACGGGTGGCGTCCGTCTGGATGGGCGCATATGAGTCTACAACCTTCCCCCAAAGACCCAGATGAGTGTGCACTGCCCTGGATGAAACGACTTCAGCAAAACAACTTGCCAAGTCTCCAGAAATGCTCTCCTGCGGGTGCAAGGGTCATGCGCAGCCCACAAGAGAAGATTTCTCCTGCTGCAACCATGCGAGGGCGGTTCGCTGGCAGACAACCTCCTTTCTCTTCGATTCCTGCGCAAGTGAGTATGAAAGCACGTGGTAACCAGTATTAGAACTGTCTTACCTGGTGTCTGCCAGTGATGACCATGACCTTGCCATGTCCGACCCGAAGCAAGATGATGGGCCCGTAGGAGTTGATACATTCAGCAAACTGTTGAGATTGCTGTAATACGTTTACTGTTAGGGTCCACATAGACCCAAAGAGTGCTCTATTCATGTTCTCACTCGATTCTTGGTAAAGGATTCCCGAATAGACAATATCCGGGAGGTCCTGGAAGAAGAGGGAAGCGTAACCTTGATGTATTTTAGTGTTGCCTACCAGAACGAGGGCAACCAATGCTCCCAGAACCTTGAGCCCAAATTGTCGAAAAAAACCTAAGGGCCATTAAGTACTTTCCTATTGTGAGTCTGACCCGGTCATAGACGAACCAGGCTACGGCCGTCTCCCTCTTGCATACAATGTCTTCACCGGTGATTGTCGACTCTTGATAAGTTGATATGCAACGTTAACTTTCAAATTGGTCTCGGATGCCGACCGAATTCCAACGATGCCAATTAGCAAACATACACAAACGCAAACGACAAGAACTGGTCTTGCAAAGGTGTTTGCTCGCAACCACTCCCTACATCAAACTAGTCCACCCCTCTCTTTCGTAGTATACCTATATTTTATCATCGCTGGTCGATGTTCAACTTCGATACGGAGCACTTCAAACTTAACTCCAACTTGGAGAACCCACCGATTCTGAGGCTGCCTTCCGAAATTCTTGATCATTGCTGGAGTTATCTCAGACGACGGGATTTGTTCCAAGTGTCCCGCGTGTCCCGCGTATTCTGGTACACCTCGAGATCTAGGATATTTCAGTCGCTCAATGTCACCCTGCCATCTCCGGCGGTTCCCCCCTTGAACCAGGACCTTGTCCGCCGTTCAACGAACAAAGCTCCTAAGATGCTCGAGTGTGCTGCTACCCGAATCACAAGTTTCTATTCAGATCCAAGTGCTGGTGAACTCTGGGACATGGTTCAGGACTGGACGGTTTCGACTGCACCGGCGATCAGGAACAGCATGTTCTTCTTTGCGCGCTCGCAGGAGAAGAACCTGGCCTCGAGATCGGTCGATGCCATCTTTCCGTTTCTGACGTGCAGTCGTAATCTTCGCTCTCTTGAACTTGTCCGCATGAATCTTGGAAGGCAACAATGGATTATCATCGAATGCCTGCCTGCTCTGGACACCCTCAGACTCATCTCATGCCTCTTCCCGCCTTCATCTCATTTGGAGCGCCCGCTGAAGCTAAAGGAACTTGCAATCGCTGGAGACAACTTCGGTCCTCGTTCAATCGAAGAACGCTTGGTTTCTGTGCTCTGTAACCCAACCTATCTACAAAAACTTACTCTTATCGACTTCCTTATCACCCATACTGTACTAGCGGTTCTTTCGTCCATGGCGCCCTTTCCCCACCTCACATATCTAAGCATATTTGTTACATCCCCGAGCCGCGACCATTTCTTCAGATTCCTTGCAGCAATACCTGCCCTAGCAACATTGAGGATTTTCCCCTGGTCTGCAAACATTACGCCCCCGCACCCGTTGCCACCCCTGTCTTCCCTTCGGTCTTACGACGGCTATCCAAACCTGCTTTCATACATCGTGCCTGGGCGACCGGTCGATTGTGTTTGCCTCGTGCTCATGATGGTCACTACGGATGACGATCAACCAGATTATGCTATCCATACCGAGCTGGTCTCGACCGTGCGCGACATCTCACGTTCCACAGTTCCAGTCAGGAAACTAGCAATCGAGTACTTTCTGCCCACTTTAGATAACCTCGCCGCCATCGCGAAGCATCTTCCGGATCTTCATCGCCTGGACTTAGGTCTTATCTCAGGGCCCCCACCGCTCACACCCGTCAGTGTGATATTTGCCTTCATACTGTGTGGTTTCGTTCATGCGTCGCTATCTCCACAGGAAGAAATTATTACCCTTTCCGAGTCAAGTTCTGAGTTCGGCCTCGACTATACTGGTGAACCACTTGATACTGTGGACACCATGCAGGTACGTCGAATCGCAAATAAGGCCATGCTCCAACGAAAATCCTTCTAGGGTCTTCTGAGTTGGCTGGGGGACGGTCGTGCCCCACTTCCGCCCAAGCTGGTGACACTTCGGCTATCACATAGTTTGATGGGAAACGAGGACATACAGTGTGCGGAAGGTGTCAAGCAACGGAAACTTATTCGTTGCTTGCATGGTAGGTATCCAACACTGCGCGAGGTCGAGATGGGAGGATGCCGTTGGTGGAGAGAGGGTGTGTATTGGTCGCGAGAGATTCTTGAATTTGAAGAAACATAGATCGTGCCTCACGGTATAGGGTCACATGTGTTTCGGGGTTCACACCAGTGGGATACAAATAACGCTATAAACATACATCTATTACCACTCCCGACAAATTATCCTGGAGAATGAGTAGACTTGGAACTACCTCCATTGCAATAAGCACGTAAATATGAGAATTTCCACCATGTCCACCACTGTGACTCGGAGGTAATCGGAAGCAGTGTATCCCAGACTCCGTCCTCCAAAGTTTCCCATCCTTCAGAATCTTTCTGAACTCAATATCCGAACCACATGATGCTATCAATCCCTGCGTCAGCAGGTTGGGTCTATTCATATCATATCAGGCTAGGCCTCGCGTGCACGATAGGCGTGTGTCCATGGGACACCAATTTGAATAGCCAGCCGTTCATTCACCACATAAACCCACTGTTTTTCCAGCTGTCCCAAGTGACCCTCTATCATTCGTCGCAATGCCTTGGGAGTCGATCAAGCTGAATTCTGGTGGGTGTTTGTTTCGTCGCCTCAGAACCGGCGTTGACAAGGCGGCCCATATGTCAGGATATTACATTCCAAGTATCGGATTCGGTACTTGGACGCTAGGTAATGGCCAAGGACCTGTCGACCAAGTTGAACAAGCTCTGGAAAATGGGTACAACCATATCGGCGAGTCCAGGCACCTCACAGCTGCAGCTTATGTTAATGTCGATCCTATCTCATAGACACTGCGCAATCCTACAGGAACGAAGGAGAGACCGGCGTCGCTTTGAAAGAAAGCGGACTTTCTCGTTCAGATGTCTTTGTGACAACCAAGTACTCTGGTACAAACGGTCTTGACATTCCAACTTCTATCAAGAACAGTGTCAACAGCGTATGTTCTGTCCTAGCTTGGAGTCAGTGCTCTCATGACTAAGTTACTGCTAAATAGCTTGGGGTATCGTATGTTGACCTTTATCTGGTCCATTCCCCGCGCCTGGCAGTACCTGACATCCCAACATGTTGGGCGCAAATGGAAAAGGTCAAGGAGGACGGACTTGCTAAGTGAATGATTTACGAGATAGTACCATATGACGTTCTGACTTGCGACTATAGGAGCATCGGTATCAGCAACTTTGGCGTCCAAGACATGGAGATTTTGTTAGCATCTGCGAAAGTCAAGCCTGCGGTCAACCAGGTGTGTAGCATCGAATTTGTCCAAGACTTTTCCTCATAACTGGACATAGATTCTCCTTCATCCATACGTCTATCAACGACAGAAACCCATCCTTGAATATGCTGCGGAGAATGGAATCATCATCGAGGCCTACAGCGCGTTGATGTTAGTTATCTTCAGGCACCCTGATATATTGTTTGTGTTGATTGCCATCCCTAGCCCCATTACAAAGTTACCCGGCGGTCCTTTGGACAAACCGTTGAATGACATCGCAGCGAAGTTCGGTGCAACGCCTGAACAAGTCCTTCTGGCGTGGACTAAAGCCAAGGGGGCCGTCGTCGTTACGTGAGTCTATATGTGGTATCTTAGAGTTTCCCATTGACATAAGCCTATCTAGCACAAGTTCAAAGAAGACGCGTCTGCAAGGCTACCTCGCGGCAGGTGATATAGGTGGGTTCAGCTGGTTCAACTGTTTTAGATGGTTCTGAAACAATCTGCTTTAGATTTGTCTCCGGAGGATATTGCTGCCATTGACGCTGCAGGCGCTTTGGGCGAGAAAAAAGTAAACATGAAGACTGTATTGAAAAGGGTTGTTGTAGGAGCGATCGCTTGCACCGCAGTCTTTGGTGCATGCAACTTCTTCGGCATTAGCATGATGTAAAGTGATTGTTAGCCTTTGATAAATGCTCAAATGTCTCTAGTACTTGTTCATCATTCCGCCAATCCAGAAAAAAATACTGCATGCTGCATGACTAGTCAAATCAAACCATTTTCAGAAGTTTCCCATCCTCATGTCTGAACCACGCTTGTTCATAATCATTTATTCCAGGTGAACAAACCCCATGATCTAGCAATCTATGTCAGAGCATGCTGGGTCTATTCATATCGCTAGGACTCATGTGCATGATAAGCATGTGCCCATTGGATGCCAAAATGAATATCAATCAACTGTTCGTTCACCCACATAAACCCATCCTCTTTTCCGAGTCCCTCAAAGTAATCCTCTATCTTGCCTCTATCATTTGTCGCAATGCCTTGGGAGCCGATCAAGCTGAATTCTGGTCGGTGTTTCTTTCATCACCTCCGAACCAGTACTGACTAGGGGACCAATATGTCAGGATACTATATGCCAAGTATCGCATTCGGTACTTGGAAGACAGGTAATGGCCAAGGACCTGTCGACCAGGTTAAACAAGCTCTGGGGAACGGATACAACCACGTTGGTGAGCCCTCGATCCCTAGGTGTCTCCGAGCGACAACTTTTGACGACACCAATTCTACCGTGCAGACACAGCGCAGGCCTACAAGAATGAAGAAGAAACCGGTATTGCTTTGAAAGAGACCGAACTTTCTCGTTCAGATGTCTTTGTGACAACCAAGTACTCTGGTACAAACGGTCTTGACATCCCGACTTCCATCAAGAACAGTTTGAGCAACGTATGTTTTGTTTTAGCTTGGAGCCAGTGCTTTTATGACATTTACGGTCACATAGCTTGGGTTATCGGATGTTGACCTCTATCTGGTCCACGCCCCACGCCTGGCAGTACCTGATATCCCCACATGTTGGGCGCAAATGGAAAAGGTCAAGGATGACGGACTCGCTAAGTGAATGACTTGCGAAGTGGAGCTGCATGACAATCTGACTTGTGATCGCAGGAGCATTGGTATCAGCAACTTTGGCGTCAAAGACATGGAGACTTTGGTAGCATCTGCGCGAATTAAACCTGCGGTCAATCAGGTGCGCAACATCGAATGGTCCAGAGCTGAATTGAACTTTAGTGAAAATTTGGCATAGATTCTCCTTCATCCATATGTCTATGAGCGACAAAAACCTATCCTTGAGTATGCCGCGGAGAATGGAATCATCATCGAGGCCTACAGCGCGCTGATGTTAGTTGATTTCAGACTCCCTAACACATGCGTTCGTGCTGATTATCACCCCTAGCCCCATCACAAAGTCACCTGGTGGTCCTTTGGACAAACCATTGAACGAAATCGCCGCAAAGTTCGGTGCAACGACCGAACAGATCCTTATGGCGTGGACCAAAGCCAAGGGGGCCGTCGTCGTCACGTGAGTTTACATGTAGTATCTTGCAAGTTTCTCATTGACGGTGTTCCGTTTAGCTCAAGTTCAAAGAGGACGCGCCTGCAAGGTTACATCGCGGCAGGTGATATAAGTGAGTCTCGCTGGATCAAGTGCTTGAAGTAGTTCTAACCGATATGCTATAGCTTTGTCTCCGGAGGATATTGCTGCCATCGACGCTGCGGGTGCTTTGGGCGAGGAAAAGTAAATGTAGAGACCATGTTGAGAAGGGTTGTCCTACAGTGTCTGATGCATGTAAATTCTTCGGTACCTGCATGATGCACAGTTGTCCTTGGCGTTTGGCAAGTGGTCAAATGTCGCAAGTGCTGGCTCATCTTCAAGTTGTACTTCTAAGTCAGCAAAAATGTCTCATTGGGCTGCGGAACGACTCAAATAGAACCATTTCTCACGTGGAGCTAAGTGAGAATAGATCATGTGAGTAATGTCTGCATTATGTTTTCATCAATGGGGACAAGGCTTGTCCCAGTACCTTCTCATAGGCGACAAAGTGACTTGGAGAAATATCCTGCAAGGTTAGTCGAGACGAGAACACGTTAATAATGCCTTGGGACTTGATCCCCTTGAACTCCGGTGCGTTCAACGATACATAGAGACACGCTCACATAAAGTTACTCGATGTTTGAGCAGGATATAGCATTCCGAGCCTCGCATATGGGACTGGAACGCTGGGAAGTGGCCAGTGGCCAATAGATCAGCTCACACAGGCCTTTGATACAGGATTCTATCATATTGGTGAGCACAACCGAAACTGACCGTCGCATCCCTTCCAATAGCAAGCAGATACCGCTCAGCTTTACGGAAATGAGGCCGAGGTTGGCATCACCATCGGCCAACTTGGGCTAGAGCGTTCCGACGTATTCATCACAACAAAGTTCTCTGGCTCCAATGGACTCGATATTGCGACTTCAATTCGAAACAGTTTGGAATACGTGCGTAGCAGTCATGTATTGTATGCGCGGGAAGACGTCGATTAACGATCACAGTTGAACACTTCTTACGTCGATCTGTACCTCATTCATAACCCGGATCTAGCTGTGCCAGACATACCAAGTGTTTGGTCTCAAATGGAGAAAGTCCAAGAAGCAGGTCTCGCCAGGTAGTTATCTGTGCTTGCGATTCATTGCATTCGGAAGCTGACACCGACCGCAGGAGCATTGGCGTGAGCAACTTCAATGAGAAGCAGCTGGAGATTCTGCTGTCGTCCGCAAAGATCAAGCCAGCCGCTAATCAAGTAAGTAAATGGACCGATTACGAGCAGTTACCGAAATTCAAGGCGCGGCCGCTCCATTATGTAGATTTACCTGCATCCCTACAATTACCAGCAACAGTCTCCCACTTTGGAGTACGCCGCTAAATACGATATCGTGATCGAGGCATACGGTGCTTTAACGTGCGATGGTTTCCGAGATTATGCGAAAGTCTAATCATGATATTTGAAGGCCTGTCACAAGCGAGCCAGGAGGTCCAGTGGACGCCCCTTTGAACGAGATCGCTACGAGGCTGAGAGCTACTACTGACCAGGTGCTCCTTGCATGGATTAAGGCAAAAGGTGTAGTCGCGGTGACGTGTGTCTTTATGAATCGGTTGAAGGGTGACGTTGTTGACGTTGAAACCCGGCAGTACCAGCTCTAAAAAAGCGCGTCTTCTAAGTTACCTCTCCGCTGGAAATCTTGGCGAGTTACTTTATTGAAAATGACAGACCATGTTGCAGGTCTGATGCATTACGACAGAACTATCTGCAGAGGACGTCAAGAGAATTGATATTGCGGGCGGTATCGGAGAGAAAGGAATCACGGTCAGACATGGGCTGCGTAAACTCGGGGTGGGCGTTTTGTTTGGGATTCTGATCTTGGTTGCCTGCAGCTATTTCAAAGGTCGAGGCAAGCGAAGCAACGTTGTAGAGGTGCTGGAGAGAAATAGGTCATTATAGGCTACGTACTTGATGAAACACCACACATGCAAGATTACTCTCACCAGTATATATTTATATCTTTCTCCTAGGTCGCCTTCGGATCCCACCTCTGCAATAAATATCGCGATCGCGATTGTATGAACCCTCAAGCTTCAAGGGTCCAAGTGTTTTGTAGACACCGTTCAAGGGTACGGAAATGAGGGTGAGGTGAATATTGCTCTTCACAGAGGCAACAAACTAGTGCACTATTCTCCACATTCCTACTGCGATCAAAAACAGCCCCTCGGTGCCGGACATCCTGACGTGGGCAGAATTGGTGAAAGTGGTGAAGGAATACTTGACTGTTAAAGCATATTACGACAAACCTTATTTGCTATTTTAGCTTCAGGCCAGTGGAAACTCATTATGAGCTCGATCTGAACGTGAATTTCGTCAAAAGGTAGCTAGCCTTGCCAGGACTGTCATGGACTGCCGCACCCCAGCGCAATGTGCTGCACGTAATAAGTACTTGCCAGTAGCGTTCAAATTAAAGTTATGTAACCTTGAGTAGCGAGTAGCGAACAATTGAAGCAGCGAATTGGTTGATTCGGATTCGGAATTTCGGAAATGGCTCTTCTGGCCCTGACCGAAGTCACATATCTAGCGCACATGTACTACTATATGGTCTTCTCGCAACAAGAAGAGACATCCTCAATGCAACCTCAATGTCAACACGCACAATTTGAATTACCCATGTAATTTTCCTTCAGCAGACACTGCACGCAACAAAGTCCGCCGCTGATCATCTTTCCTGGTGACTAGTATTTTTCCTTCTCTCCACAGGCGCCTTCTTAGTCATTTTCCACTACTCACAAGTCGGTGACTTTTTGAGAGCACTTGTACTTGGTCACGGTCGCGAGTCATTATGCTACAATGATCGATCGAGCCTGGTGCTGGAAAGGCCTTTGATCCAGCACTCTTGAAAGCACGTTTTGCCTCATTTTTTTTACACAGGCGCCTTTCAGAATCTCTACATATTGTGTTGCCCATGCGCTTGCATGCATGTTGTGGTGGCCTCGGTGAGCAAAATTATACCACTTCTATCTTACGCGACCCTAACTTATGTTGCCAGCATGTTTAGAGTGCCCTAGCTGCGGCCTCTGCGTAATGGGATCAGCCTTTATCTGTAACCTAGTCTCAAGCGACCTGAGCACTGTGGTTATGGTTCTGTGAGCTCAACTGTCTTGAAATGGACAAGACTTTCATACATGTCGTATCCACAATGTGAGCTTTTATTTTATAGAACACTGCGTGTGTATATATCATTCTAGCGATCGAGGATGTCAACGAAGATTACCCGCGATCCTTGCGTTCTCCTCGCGGCTGCTCTGCTCTCGCTTCCGCGATTGTATCAGATCCTGGTAGGACCATCTCACATGCTGCCGAAGTATATATACATCCAACACTGGTATATCGTTCTTGGTCATTCCACCCATGGCTACGACAACCCCCACTAGATCATCTAGTACCTCACCCGCTGAATCTCGTCCTACGTCGCTTGCGCGCCCAAGCATGAACAATGGCGAACCATGGCACGATGTTCTACCAGAAAATACTATTTTGTGCCTCTGCTATAAGGCGTTGTGCTTGATCGCTGTATCAAAGTCGTCGGTTGATCACTGGCGTTACCTCATAGAGCGTCCGATAAAGAAAGAATGGATAGCACACAAGGAAATGGTGGTAAATCGGTTTGAAAACATGAACATAACGGTAAGTATAGGCGCTATGCTCCTTCTGTAATTGAAACTTGTTTACAGGCGGGTCTGGTAAATTTTTGAAAAGCTGCTCGAGGAACGTGGCTGACTTGACTGAATAGGTGTTGACTACAACTGCTGTTTTTGTATCTACTACACCTCGTAAGTCATTTTTATCTTGTTGGAAGCCTACAAAATCCTAATCTGCCGGTTATTCTTAGCATTTAACCCTCTTATGCCCTATGCAAGTGTGAGCACCTTTTGTTTATCTTCCGCTCGCAATTGGAAACTCATAAGTTCTTCAAGCATGGTACATTTTCTCTTCTTGAGACTTCGTTATGTTGAAGTGTGCATAGGATCGTATATCCTTCAACTGTGCTCGTTTGTAGCTTCGTTGATCAGTTTGATGATTGGTACTTCTGTCCTCATCATCTATGACACTTGCTATGCGAATGAGCGGGTATTGAAAGTGCGTCTTTTACCTTCATACCCCTTTCAGAATTGAGTAACAGGAATTGCTAGTCGTTAATGGATTCTCGCTCGCGTCGCATATGTTGCCTTATACTGATGGCGTATCCGTCCCTGGCTCTGGCAGTTTCGACCTTGGCTTTGATGACAGGTAAATTTGTATGCACGTCCCAGTTTCGAGTTGTTAATATCAACACCCTTCTAGCCTTCTTTATAGCTGGTTTCACATCCGACAAACTCTTCGTAAAAATTATGACTGCAACAACCTATGTAGCACTGCTTTTCCTCGGCGTACTCGCAGTATATGTATTCAGCGACCGTATAAAGGAGTACGTGATCTTACATGTCACTGGCTAGAAATTAATCTGGGTGCTGTGCTATCAGGATTGCTTCACACGAAGAAGAAAATAATCATACCACAGATATCCGTGATAGCGGGATTTCTCAAGAGCACGTGCCTCCCATTCAAATCTTGCTTGATTCGAAAACTAATTTGAGTGTTAATGATCACAGAAAACCAGGGCATTCGGGCAACCGTCAGGTCTAGGGGGAGGGTTACGCCATTGGCTGGTGGTATGGATGGATATGTTGCCGTCGATGTCTTATTTGTTAAGATGTTTGTGTTGCTTTGAACTAGTGCTTTGCATTGTTTTATGTACTCGGCAAGTGTTATATCAGGAGTAGTGCTGGAAAGAATGCATGTGTGGTACGAGTGAAACCCTAAGATTAGCCTCAAGTGTATCTATTCATATCCTCCTCTTCTCACCCAGTGGGTGGAGGCTGCGCCTTTGCGATTCAGTCGTCTCACATACAGCCTCTTCGTTGGCAACCATCCTACCCAAGCCTGATAAGAGACGGTATTGCAACTATGACTTGGGATCTTGTCACGCTGAATTCCGGTAAGTTCAAATGAGGTGGAATAATTCCTTGTTCACTCAATGCCATCAGGTTACGTTATGCCGAGCATTGCTTATGGTACATGGACCCTTGGGAACGGGCAGGGTCCCATCGACCAGATCGCGCAAGCTTTCGACACGCAATACTACCACATTGGCAAGCATCACCGAGCATTGCAGTTGTATGAAGGTCTGAGAATCTTGTAGACACCGCTCAGGGGTACAGAAATGAGGGTGAAGTGGGCATCGCTCTTCATGAAAGCGGTCTGTCGCGCGGAGATGTATTCATAACGACTAAATACTCTGGCTTCGACGGGCTGGATATTCCGACTGCGATCAGAAACAGCGTCAACAACGTGAGTGACTCAGCACGACCGGTCAGTCTAGATGCTAATGAGACCAGATCGGAACGCCTTACGTAGACCTATACCTGATTCATAACCCACGCCTCGCGGTACCGGACATCCCAACAGCGTGGGCAGAAATGGAGAAGGTGGCGGAGGATGGACTGGCAAAGTACGTTACAACAACCTTATTTGCTATTTCGGCTCACCGCTGATGAACACAGGAGTATTGGTGTGAGTAACTTTGGTGTGCAAGATTTGGAAATTCTGTTGGCGTCTGCGAAAATCAAACCTGCTGTAAACCAGGTAAGAGAACAACACGATGCAATTTAATCGCAGGGTTCTGACCTTCGAGAAAGATCCTTCTCCATCCCTATGTTTACTTGCAACAGGCGCCTATAGTGGAGTATGCCGCTGAACATGACATTGTCATTGAGGCGTACAGCGCCCTCCGGTGGGAAATTTGTATTGCATCGCGCACACGCGACTGATGCGAGGATGCAGACCACTCACCAAGGAACCCAGTGGCCCGTTAGACGCTCCACTGAACGAGATCGCCACTCGACTTGGGGCAACTACAGATCAAGTGCTTCTCGCTTGGACAAAGGCTAAAGGCGCCGTTATCGTCACGTAGGTTTCACTTGAGTCGTTTTCCAATGTCGATCATCAAATCTTAATGCCCTTCTAGAACCAGCTCCAAGAAAACACGTTTAGAAGGCTATCAAGATGCAGGCGATATTGGTGAGTGCCATCTTGAGGAATGATTTGGTATGTCAGTGACTTTACATGTTTCCATGACAGAGCTTTCAAAAGAGGACATTGCTGCAATTGATGCTGCTGGAGCATTGGGCGAAAAGCGGATCACCGTTAGAATAGGGCTGCGGAAGTTTGGTGTTGGAGTTCTAGTTGGAGTTGCGGTGTTGGGCCTTTGCAGTTATTTTAGAATTAAGATTGATAAATCGTCGTAGGATATATTATTATGTTCGATCGCTCGTTAGGACATTTTAACACAGACCTGGTCCTGCCAATGAGTCGAGCACTGAAAGGCTGACAGATGATTGTGAGCTCGATGATCTGAACATACATTTCATCAAAAGATACATAGGCGCTTTCCAGGGGTTTCCAGGTTGACATGGACTGCCATGGCCACACTCTGTGATGTACGACACACTTACTTGCATGATGCGTGTGCGTGTGGTCATGGAGTCGGCACCGTAAAGTTTGCATGCAACCTTCAATGAACATTGAATATTGAATATTGAATGTCCGAATTCGGAATAGTTGTTGATCCAGAGTGGCTATGTAGTGTATCAAATTGCCGCAGTAGCGCATCTTGCCAGCAACCACTATGTCTCTGATTTCCAGCCAGCCCAATACAAGCACTATGGACGTGTATGGTCCTCTTACAACTCACGAGAAGAGAAGTCTTACATGTCAACACAACGACCACAATCTAAATTATCCATGTGAATGCCCTTCAGCATCACATCGTGCCTGCCACAAATCGAGGCTGCGACGTATTATCCTTCCTATAGCGCTTTCCCTTCTCTCCATAGGCGCCTTTCTGATCATTTCCCACTGCTCGGAGATTGGTGATCTGTTAGAAGCACTCGGACTTAATCACGAACATGTCAGTGGCGTTTTGGGCAAGCGCCAAACCACTAGTACGGGTAGTAGCTTCACGAACAAAAAATGTAGGACAACAATGTCTTCGCTCATTGTTCTTTCTGACACTCACTTCAGTGTACCTAATTGTTATTTTCGTCGGCCTTGTCCTCGTCCTGCTAGCCGCCGTAATGCTCAGTTTCTGGTGCTGCAAAGGTCGGCTCGAAGTTTGAACACTCTTCAAAGCGCTTATTGCATCATGTTTATTACATAGGCTCCTTTGAGAATCCCCTGTGTTGCCCGTGCTACTTGTGTGCATGTTGTGGTGGGCTCGGTAAGCAGAACTATTTCACTTCCATTGCAACAACCCTGACTTGTGTTACCAGCATGTTTGGAGTGCATTGGCTGTGGCCTCTGCGCAGCTGGTATCGATGAAGCGCTATGATTAGACGCCACCCTACCCTCTCCAGCGATATGAAATCTGGACTTTGTGGTTGTGATCCTGCAGGCTTATGATGGACAAGTTAATGTTCTGCGTATACTTCCATACTTCTCGTATCTTATTATGGGCGAGCTTCCATTCAAGGAACAATGTATCTGACGTTCTAGCGACTGAGGCCGCTAATGAAGATTGCTTCGTGTACTCTCTTGCTCTGCTCGCAGCTGAGTTCCTTCCGCGTGTATCAGTTCCTGGTGGAACCGCTTATATGCTAGTGCTGTATAAATATGCATGCAACACTATGGTGCACTATTCTCAGCATCTACCCATATCTAGTACGAGTCTGATGACAACCACCCCTCTCACCTCATCGTACTACGATAATTCCTGGTGTGCTCCGCCAAAACATGTTTTCTTTCGTGGCTGCTACAAGTTGTTGTGTATGATTGCTATATCGAGGTCGTCAGTCGAACACTGGGAAGAGCTCAGACAAATTTCGATAAGATCCAGGCAGGATCTGGAAGTACACCAACGGAGTTCGACAGAAGAGCAATGGGAGAAGCATAAAAAAATGGTGATAGCTCGATTTCAAAACATGAACATCACAGTAAGCACAGTATTGGTGGTATGCTCTTTCCGTTATTGAAACTTATTTGCAGGCGGGTCTGGTAATCAAACTATGAAAAGCTGCTCTAAAATCGTCCTGACTTCATTTCACAGGTTTTGACGTCAAGTACTGTTTTCATATCTACCAATCCTCGCAAGTCATTTTTTGTTCTGTAGGAAAACTGCGAAAAAGCTAATCTACCTGTTTTTCTCAGCAATTCAACTTCTTGTGCCCTACGCAAATGTAAGCATTTCTCCTTATCGTGCTCGTATGTCGAAACTGACAAGTTCTTCAGTATGGTAGAGTTCCTCTTCTGACCACTTTGTTGTGCTAACGTGTGTCCAGTGTCGTATACTCTCGAAGTTTTCTCTTTTGTAGCTGCATTGATCAGTCTGATCGTTGGTACTTCTGTCGTCATCATCTATGACCCTTGCTATGCACACGCGGACATATTGGAAGTGCGTCATTTGCCTGCCTTCATACGCCTTTAGGTTTGAGTAATAGCAACTACCAGTCGTTCAAGGAATCCCGCTTGCGCCTTATATGCTGCCTTATGCTGATGGCGTTTCCTTCACTGGCTCTGGTAGCCTCGACACTGGCTTTAATGGCAGGTTTGTGTATCCACATTCCGATTTCGAATCACCTTTCTCAATGCCTGTTCAGCCGTATTTATTGCAGGCATCACATCCGACAAAGTTTTCATGAAAGTCATGTCTGCAGTAACCTGTGTAATAATTTATATCCTGCTTATGGTCGCATTCTACGTATTCAACACTCCTCTAAAAAAGTATGTGCCCTTTTATATCACCTAACAGCCAGAAATTTATCTGGATGCTATTAGGGTTGCCCATTACAATACCGATGCCACTGACATGCCAGAGCAGGAAGCCTGAGGCACTGGCAAGCTACCAATCTAGAAGGAGGATCGCCTCATTAGCTAGCGATATAGACGGACATGTTCCTGTTGATGGCTCATTTGTGATATTACCGGTGCCTCGCATTGTCTACTCCTGGATGAGAGAGAAATCCATACACTTTGCAGTGCGCGGGGACAGTTGGTTCAACTTGTTTCCAGTAACTACGACACGGTATTTTGTTGATCGCGAACCACCCATTTCTATCACTCTTATCATAATGGGTTGATAGTTCCCCTTCGCTACAATAGTCACATCACTAGAGTCTAGTGAAGTGAATCTACAATATTAATGCCGGCCCACTATGTCGCCAGTCTTGACATAGCCTGAGCCCACGGTGGTCATAGGCTATATTGATGTTGCCATAATCACCACATGCTTATCACTCCATTTACTGGTGTGGACGACGCAAGTTACTGATGAAGTTATCCTATTGAACGCCCGGAAAATACAGAGCCTTGCCAGTGTGCATTTGAACTTAAAACTCTGGTTGAAGGTTACGGACAGCGATAAACAAATAAATCAATAATGGCCGTTTTGTGGCCTTTTCTTGCAGGTTTCAACTGACCTATATAGCCATCAATACTTGCTATGTAATTGGTGTTATGTGAGTCTTGATTGTAGTAGATGGGCCGCAAGTAATCCAATCTCCTCGGCACACATGACATCTACCCTCTGCTCACATCGTGTTGCATCACACTGCAGGAAGGCAGCAAGCAAACAGAAGAAGGTTAACGAGGAACAGGAAAAGTGAGATCGGCGAACGGAACAGGAACGTTCCCAAGCTACAAATATTTACTAAGACCAAGAAGCTGGAGGAGTTACGCGACATAGCCGCGGCCTTGCGATTACCTGAGACTGGACTCAAAGCCGAGGTGCTTCAGCAGATTCTGCAGCCCTTTGACGATGATCATGGCCCTGACCTCGAGAAAAATTAACGGTATGGGATTTATTCAGCCCTACCCATTCCAGCATTCTGCACCTCCACATATTTTGCACCCTCGTTTTGCGCCAGCGAGTCACGGTGATGCGGATTTTCTAGTTGACGACACAGTGCAGAGGAGTCGGGATGTGTATGTAGGGCATCAATTCTATTCAACAGCCTATCAGCAACACTAGTAAAATTATTACCGTCAGTATCAGATGAACTATGATACTGCTGTTTTTGAGCATGCACGCGTGCACGAAGGATGTGACAAAATTGTGCAGACCCCGAGTTTTATCGGGCTTGCTCTGATACCACAAGATTCTGAAAACTAGTGAAGATCAGAGCCATGTAGAGGAGATACGAATCTGTGATGAGTCATGAAAGTAACTTTATGTCAAATCCAATACTCATAATTCAGAGTGGGGTTCCCCTTGCCCTCCAAGTTCCGAGATCTCGAACTATCTCGATGAGCGCATGCTCGAGCTTTCCAGTGTTACTCGCCAGGCTATTGTCACTCACCTTAGATACCAACGCCTACACACTCACGAACTAGACCTTATGATGTCTATCCACGAAGATGAGACCAAGCTAACGCGAACGGAATTGGAGGCAGTTGATCTCCAAATCGGATCAATCCGAACCATGCTTCGCGAGGGGAGAGTGGTGGCGATAGGGAACAGGGGTATGAGTTCGACCCGAGTGACATGAACCCCGTAGGGCCAATGGTTCCTCTGAGGCTCTGACGATGAATCCATACGCATGTTTGCTTCTGGATCTGATGGTGATTAATTCAAGATGCCGCAGACTTCGGAAGAGTCCGACTGTGCTCAAAATACTAGTATGTACTCACCTTCAATCTCGGAGTCTCTGAATTCCCCATAATCACGCATCCAATGGCATGGTAAATCTATGGGGCCTGCCCTACTACTAGCTGCAGGACAACCTGAGTTCCTGGTATTATGATGTGGTTGAGGAGATAGAAAATATTTTGCTTGCATATTACGTGGAATGATTTTATGTAAACACACCATGGGTACACTTCCCTACTATACCTCACGGCAGAGTCGTCACCCCCACAAGTCGTCAGGTCACGCTTTTGTCACAGCAGGCCGCCGCTGCCGCTTTCAAAATCCGCTCGGCAATGCCTAAGAAATTCGACAGGTCAAAAATGATGATTATGATTGGTTGGTGCGATGTGGAATATAGTATGGGATGTGGTTGTAATTATAATGGCTGTATGGTGCAGGATATGCTACATGGGAATGAGAACTATGTGGTCCGTGATGATGGGGCAAATGAACGTGATGTAAAATGTGCTGAGATACTTGTATGTTGCTGCGAGTTGGATGTACAGGAGGATTGTAAGGTATTTCATGGCGTAGATCAGGACTATTTGAGTTAGAACTATTTGGATGTTCGCGAGTGTGGGATCACGCGACTCTCGTGATTTGCCTTTTGGGCGTCGAGCCGTGTCCGAATGGCGTCGGCTCACTGACAACTCGTCACAGCCAGTGGTAGTATCTGTTTAGAACTCCGCTACGGCAGCGCTCGGCTGACTGTCACCAGCGTGACTTTGACGGCTTTCAATGAACTTTACCATTTCTTAACAAAGTTTGGTCGTTCAACCTCGCAATGAAAGATGCATGATAGAAACATTGATTTAAGTTGTGAATTGTGTGTGGAAGTAAGAATTGAGTGAGATATCTAGGTCGTGACGACTTGTGGGGGTGACGACTCTGCCGTGAGGTATAGTACTATGCCCACGGCTGAGTCGTCACCCCCATAAGCATGTATCACTGTGATGCTATTGTGAACCTCCCGTAATCGAAGCCGGCAAAGAAAGTTACCGACGCCTCCCTGTTTTGCTCACACCTCGCGTGCTTTCGCGTGTCCCCCATGCTGTTGAAGTACTAATACATATACGTGTAACGTACATACTAATAACTCTCAACCATTCCACTCATGTCTACGACAGACGCCAATCTATCCTCAAATGCGCCACCTGTTCCTGGTGTTCCATCTCGAAGTTCTGAGTCGGATAAGACTCAGCCGTTATGGTATGATCCACCACGACATCCCTTTTGGTGTCTGTGCTTTAAGGCGTTGTGTTTGATCGCTATATCGAAGCCGTCGGTCGACCACTGGGATGACCTCATAAATGGTCGGAAAAGGGAGGAATGGGTAGAGCATAAGAAAATGGTGACAGATCGATTAGGAAACATGAACGTCACAGTAAGTATTGGTGGTATGTTCAGGCCTTCAGTCAATGAAACTTATTTGTAGGCGGGTCTGGTACGGATATTATGCAAGGCTTAAGGAACGTGGTTGAATTCATTGAATAGGTTTTGACCACAAGTGCTGTTTTTATATCTACTCAACCTCGTAAGTCATCTTTGTCTTGCATGAAGTCTACAAATTTCTAATCTATCGGTCATTCTTAGCATTTCAACCTCTTATGCCCTATGCAAGCGTATGCACCTGTTCTATTTCCCCGGAATTTGGAAGCTAACAATTTTTTCAGCATGGTGAACTTCCGGATCCTCTTCTTCAAACTTCGTTGGGTTGACATATGCCCAGGGTCGTATATCCTTCAAGTTTCATCTTTTGTAGCTGCGTTGATCAGTTTGATGACTGGAACTTCTGTCCTCATCATCTATGACACTTGTTATGGAAATGCAGATATGAAACGGATATTGAAAGTGTGTCATTTGCCATTCATACACACTTCATGCTCGAGTAATAACAACCACCAGTCGTTAAAGCGATCCCGCTTGCGCCTCGTATGCTCCCTTATACTGATGGCATATCCTTCCCTGGCTTTAGCAGTCTCAACAATGGCTTTACTGACAGGTTTGTGCGCACGTGCTGATTTGAAGTCGATAATCTCAAAAATACTTTCAGCTGTCTTTATAGCTGGTTTCACTTCCGACAAGCTCTTCGTGAAAATTCTGACTGCAGTGACATATTTAACATTGGTTTTTCTCGCTGTGCTCGCTGTATATGTATTCAGCGCTCCTTGGGTTGAGTACGTGCTGTTACATGTTGCTTACCAGACAAAAAATGACTTGGGTGCTATATCTCAGTAGCATGCACGATCCAGATCCTGCAGATAGTCATGATCGGCCAAGCTCTGAGCCAAAGGGTGATAGCGTGGTCTTTCACAGGTACGTGCCCCGTTGACCCTGTCTTCATTGAAACACAGATTTTAAGTACTGATGAATCGTCATGGTAGAGAAATCGAGTACTCTGGCAGCCGCATTAAGCCTCGGCGAAAGGAGCTCGTGTAGGGGATCACGCGACTTCCTGGTAATATGGAAGGAAGCTATTACTGTCAATGAGTCTCGCTGTTATGTTGCTTGTAATTTTGGTGCTCTTTTGAACTTGTACTTTGTCATTTCTCCTAGATCTGAGGCGCTAGCAGCTGCGTTCCTTGTTACTATATCACCACGTGCACATACGCATCACTTCATATACAGGCGACCTCCTTGTGAGCCGAGGCTCTGAGGATGATGAGATGCCAGTGCGAGGCGTCCTTGCCTAACCACTGGCACCGTCCCTAGAAGTCAAGAGTGACTGGCCATCTTGATTTCAGAAACTAACCTGGGGTTACGATTGGACCCACGTACCTGCGATCTGTATGATCGAAGATCTCTATTCCGTTTCTTAGAGCGCCATAACATCATCGTTAAAAGTTGTCCATCACGTTGTGCACGTTCTGTTGTCTGATTCGAGTCTCGAAGGTCCTTATATGCGTTTTCCGGCTAGCACTGCTAGCTACAGTAAATGCATTAGGGCTTCGAGAATATCACCCCTTTATTCGTTTGGTGTACAGTCTCTATGATATGCAACATGAGAACATTACTTCATGAGCTCCTCGAGACCGTTTTGTTACCATCAGGACATGGTGATGCGGCTCTTGCGAATGCGACACGTTTCAAAACGCCCAAATATCCTTCTCACGGTGTGTCTGTACTCAATTGATCTTGACCCGATGACATAAAGATGTAACTACACGGAGACAGGCCAATAGGAGGTAGAGATTCTTACTAGTCTATCATGCATTTCAGCTCTGAGCTCCGTATGGCATTTACATACTATTGTTGTACTGCATTGCTCCCCAAACAGTTACACAGCCAATTCGTTGAATGTGACAATCAGACATGCAGAATCAGCTAGTTGACGTATACTGCGAAGTGAACTATGTGTACCTTGCAGGCCAGTTGTAATGTTAAACAACTTACGCTGCTATAAACAAATGACTTGTGCCGCGGAGGGACTTTGTGCGCCGCAAGCCATTACTAAGGGAGGAGATCACCGCGAATGGCCCAAGGCTTTGGGAGACTGAAAACCGCAGCGACAAGGACTGAACGTGGCGCAGATGATGAGACAAGGCTGAATATGAATATGATAATAAATGGTACTATCACTCATCAGGGAATATGGATCGGAGCTATGCTATCCCAAGCAGCTGCCAACGTCTAAGCCTGTGGTGGGACCGCCATGGTATAAATTTAGTGTAGAAGTGGTTGAGCACACGAACTTGAAGCCTAAATCATAAGAGTAAGAGAGGAAGCTACATGCCATTAGTGGCTAAGTGCCGACTAGGTCCATCTCTCGAACTTTGATTTTGATGCACATATTCTCAGTACGCACTGTGCCGTACCGCGACTTCGTGCGAGTTTCTAGATGGGGTGGACAAACCAATTGTCCCTAGCCCCATCAGACCTTCTAGGAAATGTCAGTTACATTCGGATTGATAAACCCACCCTGTTGCCGGCCTTGCGCTTTGACGTCTAGCTGGTTTGGATGGTGTACTAGAGGCAAATGTAGATTACGACACGTGCGTGTGAGATGCGATGTCGGACAGCATCAAGGGAACGCGATGCTCCGGATAACGATCTGAGTAGTCTTACAATTTTGCAGACGTGGCATACAAATCTGTACAGGGGAAATTTTTTTTTGGACAGAAGTCAAAATGGAATGGTTGTGTCGCCCTCGATCCGTCACTGTTGAATCATTATTTGTCAGAATAATATTCCTTTGAATCATCAACCTCCTACCTTGGTCAGCGTTAATGAACATCGTAATCGCACTGACAATTATCTGTATGAGCACCTCCTACACCTTAGGCTTCCTATCTTTCAGATATGTTTCCCAGCCTCCCCGACTGTCGTTACAAGTCCCGAAGCTAGTCGCAGATCCGTAACCACCGGAAGTATTTGGACGAGCGCACTGAGTTTCTGAAGGTTTTGCTGCTTGCTACATAGACCGTCGGGTGCCGGAAGGACTACGGAGTTGTAGCAACCCGTAGTAGCACCCAGGCCGTTAGTACATTTGTGTAGGAACCGAGAGCATGTGGTGAGGATCGATGAAGCATAGCGTTAGCATGGTAGCTCGATCATCGATGCCACGGCGCCAGTGGATCGCTGTGGATCGAACCAAACTCCAATTAGACTCGACGCGATGTTTGCGGAGTTTAAATTAGAATATGGACTGGTTCAGGCAAGTTCACCCCGGTTCACAACTACTAAGTACCAATAGTTGCGCAGTGCGTTACCGGTTACCTACCGCCGACAGGTGAGCGACCAATTGCAGACTAAATGTACTGCAAAATTTGATTTGAAACAGACTATTTAGCTAACTAAGCAGTATTTCCGACTGGTTGCATAGTTTCTCCAAATGCTATACTCTTCGACAAGAGCCGCAAAGGGCGATTTCCACCCGCTCTGCGTTCATTTAGATTCCCAATAATACGAATTGAGTTCAAGTGACTCAAGGAGGCTGAGGACTAGCCAAAGTCAGGGGCGCTGCAATTGTCTTGACGTGACGACTGGCATTGCAATCTTGGATTCGTCCTGATCGAGAAGTAATACCTAGCAGTGCCAGCGCGTCACGCGTGTATCCTTCAAAAGCAGACGGGAGAGGACGGGAAAACTTCGCAATTTAGTACATCTGCCCTTCGAATTTCAGCCTCTTACCTTGTGCACATAATGGTCTTCTTACCTTCAACTGCCTCTGCTACTTCAGCAGTCGATGTCGGTCTCAAGCGTAGCCATGTCGACTATTCTCGCTATCTATCAGCGGAAGCCCGTTCCAGGCTCCCTAACCCAATTAAGTCCATCTGGAAAGTTGCTCAGGTCAAACCTGGCACCATCAATATGGGAAACGGTTTGTGAGTTGTCATCGAGGGCGAACACACTGGCTAATTTAGTGCAGGTGATCCGCATCATACGCTGTATCCCATATGCGAAGTGAATTTTGTCGTTCCTTCCATTGACGAGCATGACCCCGTGCAATCATGGAGGTCTGGCACTGGCGAACAAAATATCATTTCTTCATACAAAGACGAGCCCTGCGCTCTGAGCCTCCGTACTGCCTTTGCATATGGTGCTGGTGCTGGTCTCAAGGATGTCCGCGATGCCCTTGCAGACCTCAACGACAGGATTCACTCTCCTCCCAATCACACCGTCTCGCTTAGCCTTGGCAATGCAGACGCGCTGACAAAATGCTTCCGTCTTCTCGGTGATCCAGGCGACTCTTTCCTTTGCGAAGAATTCACCTTTTCTGCTATGACCAATGCTGCTCTGCCCCTAGGCATTGAATGGGTCCCGATCCGGATGGATAACAATGGACTTGTTCCTTCAGATTTGGAACGAATTTTATCCAACTGGGATGAAGCAAAACAAGGTAAACGACCCCATGTGCTTTACACGATCCCGTACGTCATCGCCAGCTCTCAATCAGTTCCATACAGCTCACAGTTCTTATCCAGGTGCTCGCAGAACCCAACAGGAAGCACTCTTTCATTGGAAAGAAGGCAACAGATTTATCAAATTGCACACGATTGGGATATCATCATCCTTGAGGATGATCCCTACTTTTTCCTCCAGTACGATCTTGGCGTGAGCCAGAGTACGATACAACAGTATGGGCACACACGTGCCATGGCGGAAGTTCTCCCTCGGTCATTCCTGTCCATGGATTATGATGGACGTGTAATGCGCCTAGATAGGTAAGACCATTTCCTTTTTTCACCAAAGTCACAACTCTAATATGACTCTGAGTGCAGTTTCAGTAAAATCGTTGCCCCTGGAATGCGGCTCGGCTGGGTCACGAGCAACAGCTACTTCGCAGATAAACTTGACATGCTGACGGACTCGTCCTCGCAACATCCACATGGCATGGGCCAAGCCTTCGTTGCCGAGTTGCTTGGCAGTAATGGTTGGGGCGTCGATGGCTTTATGAAGTGGATCTTATCGCTATGCAACGAATACCAACGTCGGAGGGATCTTTTCATGGATGTCTTCCGGCAGAAGGTTGCCACTTCCGGCTTCGCCACTGCAGAAGTACCACAATCTGGGATGTTTGTCTGGATCAAAATCAACCTTGAGCATCACGCACGGTTCTCGGCATCTCAGACTCCGACGGTGCCAGGCGGTCCGACGACGAACACCGCGGACCTCATGGATGAGCTGTTCCGGAAGCTGCTAAATAACGGCTTGGTCATGATGCCAGCATCGACATTTGCCATTGCTGATCGCACGGGGATGATGGGAAGCCACATTAATGACGTAAGTTCTCGCATTATGCTCGTCGAATGTACACTCAAGAAAACTTGCAGCGAGTGAACTTTTTCAGAGCAACGTTTGTTGGCACAGATGAAACGATTCGTAATGGGCTTGCGACATTTGGCCGCACACTGGAAGAATTCTTCCTCTAGATCTTATACCGTCGATGCCAAGCCACTTGTTCCGTTTTAGGTTGCATGTATAAAGTGCTTGACTCTACTCGCCATTGACATTTATCCTAATCGATAATCTATTGCATGTTATGCATTGATATGTACGTTGTGTGTATCGCATTAATTACTACATATGTACTACTAGTACTTACACCCTACTTGCGCCTATTATTTATTTCTTTGGGATTTCGCATGATAGCTTGATGGCGATGAGCATCGTGACTTGGTTCTGCAGCTTCTGGCAAGGCACAGGTGTCGCGTGTGCCATGACCGGGACCAATAAGACGTGTCACGTCCAACAAGGTTCCTACGGATTGGCATTTCTGTTGATCTTTGCAAGTTCGTGCCGCATCGTGCGCCACGCGTCATGACTTCGCTGAGGCTCGTGGGGTAGTTGTAGACTTCTGAAACGTCATAGCACACCGAAGGAATGTTCTTGCTCGTTTTGGATGCCGTTCCCTCAATTGTCGCCTGGATCATCTTATTGAAGTTTTCTGGTTTACGATATCTCTCGGTTGTGATAAAATTCGAATCGTGAATACACTT